CTCTCTCTCTCTCTCTCTCTCTCCCCTCTCTCACTCTCTTAAAAAAAAAAAAAAAAAAGAGATGCCTAACGGGCTCTGGTTGTGGCTCAGTGGTAGAGTGCTTACCTCACATGTGAGGCACTGGGTTCGATCCTCAGCACCACATAAAAATAAAATGTAGAAATTAACAATGGTAAATAAAATGTTTATTTAAAAAAAAAAAAAAGATGCCTAAAGCCAGGCACAGTGGTGCACACCTGTAGTCCTAGTGGCCCAGAAGGCTGAGGCAGGAGGATTGTGAGTTCAAAGTCAGCCTCAGCAATTAAGTGAGGCCCTAAGTAACTCAGCGAGACCCTGTCTCTAAATAAAATATGAAAAAGGGCTGGGTTGCCTAGTATGTGTGAGGTCCTGGGTTCGATCCTCAGCACCACATAAAAATAAATGAATAAAATGAAGGTATTGTGTCCAAGTACAACTAAAAAAAATTTTTTTAAAAGGGTGGCTCAGTGGTTAAGTGTCCCTGGGTTCAATCCCTGGTACCAAAAAAGAAAAGACTTCTGGGCATGTCTATGAAAATATTCCCAGATGTAACTGGCATGTATGTGGGACAATAAACTGAAGGTGGAGAATGTGGGTGACTAGAGTCCATTAGAATGGAGGCTTGGATAGAACAAAAGGTAGAAGAATGAGGGAGCTTATAATAGAAAAGGTCACTTTTTAAAAAAATTTTTTTTAGTTTTCGGTGGACACGACATCTTTTATTTTTATGTGGTGCTGAGGATCGAACCCAGCACCCCGCACATGCCAGGTGAGCGCATTACTGCTTGAGCCACATCCCCAGCCCTGAAAAGGTCACTTCTTGAGCCAGGGCTTTGGATGGCTGCTGGGGTCTCCTGAGGGCATCAGACTCCAGCTCCTTCATTCTTCCAAAGTGGACTCTGACCACTGATTCTCCAGGAAGTTTCCACCCTTCACTCCTGGATTGGGGCTCTTTGAAGGTCCAGCATTTTGGAATGAGCACCTACTGGTTCCTCTGCCTCTCCAGACTGCAGATGGCCATTGTGGGACTATCCAGCTAATGATACTGTAAGATAAGCTAATAAATCTCCTATAATCATTCGTCTACATTACCATATCATGTTGGTTCTGTTCTTGTAGAAAACCCTGACTAATATAATCCTTGTGACAATCTTCTGTCAATAGTATTCTCAGTTGAGAATTTGATGTGAATCCAGGAACAAAGGAATTGAGGTTATCCTCCCTGAGAGGTATGGCTATTGGAGGTTGCAGATGCAGGGTAGAACATCTGTCCAAGAGACAGGCAGGAGTGCCTGTAGAAAGCAGGCAGGCTAATGACCCTGGCCATAGGAAAAGCCTCTCTACCTTTGCCAGTAATTGGCTGAGCAGATACAGGCGAACACAACTTGGAGTTGTCTCCTCTCACAGGGGTAATTAACTGCCCCAAATTCTTACCCAATAAAACCAGGCTACAAAAGTTTTCACTTGTGATATTTAAAACTGGTTGAATGGCATATCCACCTCTCACGCTGATCAAGGAAACCTCTCAGTGACCCCACTTAAAATATACTTCTTCTTAAGTGGATACAGTGACCTAGTCCTTAAAAATTTTAGCTGAATTGATTTAGGAAACTCTTAATTTTTCTTTAAAAAGGGTCAAGCTTAATAAAAACTGGCTTCAGGGGCTGGGGTTGTGGTTTAGTGGTAGAACAATTGCCTAGCATGTGTGAGGACTGGGTTCAAGTCTCAGCACCACATATAAATAATAAAATAAAAGTCCATCAACATCTTAAAAAAATTGCTTCAGTCCCACTACCTCAGTGTTCTGTGTCCATTCTCCTATGGGCACACTTTTCCATCAGTGCACGCCAAATTGAGACATTAATAGAGCAGATTCTTCAAGTTTGGGTGTCCCAAAACCAAGAAAATAAGACCAAACTTAGTAGCAAAGCTCTGATCATAAGAGCATTTGTAGGGGGCTGGGGATGTGGCTCAAGCAGTAGCGCGCTCGCCTGGCATGCATGCAGCCCGGGTTCAATCCTCAGCACCACACACCAACAAAGATGTTGTGTCCGCCGAGAACTAAAAAATAAATATTAAAAAAATTCTCTCCTCTCTCACTAAAAAAAAAAAAAAAGATTCAGTGGATTTTCATAAATGCATTTTTTAAAAAAAAGAGCATTTGTAGAATCATACAGACTATGAAGAGTGCCTTCTCTACACACAAATCAACCTGCAGAAAGGTAATGAGTACTAGTTGGCAGTACTCTACAAAATATAAGCATTTCCAGGCAGGGTGATGCATGCCTGTAATTCCTGCTACTGCTGAGGCTGAGGCAGAAGAATCACAAATTAAAAGCCAACCTGGGTAATTTAGCAAGATTCTGTCTCAAAAATGAAAAAAAAAAAAAAAG